CTCGCTAGGAACCATAGACCAACCCCCTGGTTTACCTTTTGTTTTCGTAGATTGGTTTATGGAAAGCGATGTATGGAAATATTACAGGGTTAATGTTTTCAGTCATTTTTTGTTTTCAGCCTTCAAAACAATATTTTTGTTAAATTAAAGTATGGACATTTCAAATTGGAAATTTTGGGCTGAGAGAACCCATTTTTTGTCTGCTGCATGAATATTTGTTGGAAAGGTTCCCTTTATTGAACTACGTTTTGTTCTATTCAGTAAAATGGCGTCCTAGAATGGAAAATAAAGGACAATGAAGTCAGCTGGGCAGCCCCCTGTCTCCATATAAAAGCAATTTAGTTTCAAGTTCATCTCGGTATCCTGTGGGACACATTACTGTATACCCTGTAAACCCCTATTTATCCTGTGTACCCATGTTTACCCTCTCTCATACGGATTTGCCAACTTCTGTTGGATCGGTGTTTGAGCTTGCAGTTGAGTTACTATTGCCTTGAGGAGCAAGGAAAACGGCTGTATTCGCAGGCTACAAAAGAGACAAACATTGTTAGATACCTTTAATTAACATGCTTTTAGGAATATCTACTTCGCAATCCTTAAAATTAAAATCACCATAATTAATTTTGAATTTGGTATCACTGATGGGAAAAAAAGTAAAATTATTTAAAGAAAACTGCTAATTGTTTTTTCAAATCTTCTAAGGCATAACACGTGGCAATAAAAATTTTGTCGATGTCAGATGGTAAGAAAACTGTTTCAGGTGTTACAGTACGGTGAAATAATTCTTCAAAAGCTTGAAGAAGAAACCCAGGGCCAGACTATAGTTTTACCTCAATCTCACAAATTATGGAATTTGTACTACCGAAACGTCAAGTCAGTCACGGGCATCTCCATGAGATCCATGGAGATGTTGCCTTAAAATCTTCAAATTCACGGAGCTTCATTTCAGCAGAACCTTCGTGTAGGACAGTCGGAATACACAGAGGCAAACAAAGGTTATTCAGGAGTCAATGTTCAAACAAAACATCATCGATCCTGATTGGACGAAAATTCGCCCCCTGTCACTTTAGCTTCCGGCGACTAAGATTTTAGAATAATATAGCTACGGTATGTGATCTGTTGATCTACTGCGTTTCCTTTGACTCACGAAATTCAAGTTGTTGTAAATTTCCCTTACTTGTACTGTGAGCAGAAAACGATAATACGAAAGGAGAGACGAAATATTAAAAGGCGAAAAAAAAAAAAAAAAAAAAAAATAGAACGACAACAAGAGATGGTGTTACATTTTTCAGAAAAGATAGGAACCACATTTTAACTGTCAACTAATTGAAGTCATGCTTTGTTGTACCGTCGGTTGCATCAAAGGAGGATAGTTGTTGTTAGCAGTCACAATATTTACTGTTGCTCATGTAAGCAATTCCGCAGTTTGTATAAGTCAACATTTAAGTAATAGTAATAGTGTAAAGGATTGTAAAGCATAGTCTTGTTCTATTTTAATAGACTGATTTTGACTGATTTTTAACTGATGTCATTATACCACCCACAATACTAGTTGAATTAACTTATTTCAATAGTTATATCAACTACTAATATCTGTCATAGAAATTTCGGTTTGCAGCGTGTAATCTATCAATGAAATAGTTGAAATAACAAAGTTTATCTTACGTCATGACTGAATGAGCTACTACTGTAACAGTTTTATAAAGCGCTAGATGATCGCATTTCCCCCATGATTTTTACATTATTTTTCTCTTGTTGCAGAATCTTGTTGTCGGTTGAACTAAGTTAGGCAACTTATCCAACTTTCCACTTCAATTGACAAACATGGGACCACAAACAGGAAACAGAGAGAAAAAAAGAAGAAACGAGCGGAAAAAACTAAGGGACGGACCATTAGAAAACTTATGGGGGGGGCGCTGGCGAAATACAAAAAAAAAAGTTCGCGCAGGGTAAAATTAAATGAAAAAAATTCTTGCACGCCAATTAACCCTAAAAAATATTCATGCTATGGCCTGAAAAAAATTCTCATTTGTTAAAACCACTTAAAAGGTTAGACAAACATTGTTAAGAATGGTTCAAAATCAACCATTTAAAAAAGTCATTTTAAAAATTTTAAAGAAAACTCCTGTTTGCATCGAGGTTGTAAGTTTTGTTCTACCTGAATAAACCGACCTTTACGAAAGTCTGGGGGCAGTTTCAAGTTCATCTCGGTAGGGCAAGGACACTTCTGTTGGATATGGAAAAAGTTGGACCAAAAACGAAAACTGCTTTTGTCGAAGGAACCTGGGCCTCCTTGAACAATTGGAAAAAGCCTGAACCTCCTCCTTGAACAATTGGAAGCCTGAAAGACAAAAGAAACAGGAAATATCTTCAGGATTCTGTGGAAAAACTTGCCCCGAGAAACGAAACTGAAAGAAAGATAACCCAGTAAGAATAGCAGATTATGCAACGGTCGGAAGCCACCGATTTCAACCATTCGCTCGGCACGAAGGGTTAAAGG